CGCAGGACATCATCCTGAAGCGCGCAGCCGACATCGCGGAGGCGCTGTACAGCGTCCCGCGCAACCCCGCGCAGCTCCCGGCGCTCTCCAGCTCCCCGGCCCACAGCAGCATGATGGGCATCAACTCCTACGGCAGCCAGCTGGGCGTCAGCATCTCCGAGTCCACCCAGGCCAACAACCAAGGTGAGCGCCGCGGGGAGCCCCCGGGCCGCGGTCGCCGTGGCTCCCAGAGAAGCTCCTGGGCAGAAAGCTGGGTTTAGCCTGTCAGCGTCAGCAACGGGTGTGTGCTGCCAGTGTGGGTGACACGACACCTGCACTGGGCTCCAGTCACCAAATTAGCTCTGGCTGAAATAATTTCTGAGTATTTTTTGATACCAGCTGGAGCCTGAATTCTCTCCCTGCTTCCCTCTTTTAGGCTGCTGCTTCAGTGCTAGTTCTACCCACATACGTGTGTCATATGTCTTACATTTACTCCAAATATTTTACTGTTAGGAAAACATGCCCCCAAATGCTGTATCAACAGTGATACACCACGGGAGGAACAGCAGCTTTGTGCATTTTCCTGATTCTGGGATATTTTGACTTTTAGCACTTGATTCCAGTCAGGCACAGTCGGTGGCTGGTGGTGCTGAATACTCTGAGGCAGGAAAACCCTGTGAGGTGGTGGGGATAGTGCACGTTAAAATTCATCATGGAGAAAAATATGCCAGTTTTTTAAATAAGGTCTTACCTGAATTAGAACTTCATAACAAAAATGGGCAAAAATAACTTGATATCTAAATGGTAACCGCTTTTAAAGTAGCTCTTGGATCACTTCTTGTTAATGAAAGCTCCTCTGTGGCAAAAACCTTTTTCCAGCTGTAATTATAGCCTTGTACTTTACTTTACTGCTCATGGCAATGGTGTTCTCCAAGGCTCTTTTTGGAGGAAAAAAAAGCTGCATTTTGGTCATGAAGTATTTGTGTGGTTTTGTTTTGTTTTGTTTTTTCTTTTTTTTAAGACAAAAACATGGTTTTTACTTATCTAGTTTATTCCTTCCCCCAAGCAGAGGATCTTTGAAGTCAAGCTCGAAACAATGTAGGAGTTATAATTCCCCCTTAGTAATCTACTTGCTTTATTTGTAATTCATCCATCATCTGAGAAGTGTAACCTCCTCCTCTATAGTTGTAGAAAATCCCACCTATGTTATAAATTCTGCCTTAGAAGAAGATAAGCATAGACACTGTTTCCCAGGTCTCATAACAAATTTCATCGTTTAACAGATTAAATTTGATGAGAAAAATATACATCAGTTGACTTCAAAAAGTTAGTTTTCTGCATTGTTTTAAAACAATATTGCTTAACTTGAGAGCACGTGCATGAACCCCACTGAATTTAATAGTACTTGTTGAATGCTTTAATTACCCTGTATTTAAGTAAGTAATTTATTTAGCCAGGGAACACACAGGAGGAAGCTTTAAGCCACAGGCATTGACAGGCTTTGCCATGCACTTTGTTTAGGTTACATTCGTAACACGAGCAGCATCTCACCCCGAGGCTACTCCTCCAGCTCCACACCTCAACAGTCCAACTACAGCACTTCCAGCAACAGCATGAACGGCTACAGCAACGTGCCCATGTCCAACCTGGGCGTCCCCGGCTCGCCCGGCTTCATCAACGGCTCTCCCACAGGCTCCCCCTACGGCCGTGAGTGCTGCTGCTCCTGCCCCTCCTCCCCCTCCCCTCAGTCCCCACAGCACAGAACGCACCCAGAGGTGGTTTCAGTGGAGGTTCTCAACGTTTAGTGATGGGTTTTGTAAAAGGTTCTGATTTGTGTCGTGGTATTTTTTAGTATGAGTTAGAAAACCTTCCCACTTTCCAAGAAATATAGAGGAACAGGGACTCCTGCTTGTGTTTCCTCCCTATTTTATCCTTACACAGATTCCTAAGTGAGAAATGAGGTACAACTGGCAGCTTTAGATGATTGAGCAAGTAGCCATCACTGTTAGCATCAAGACTACTCTGAAGCCTCTGCAAAAGCCACTCTAAAATAATCTTCCTGTCTATCAACTGCATCATCAATAACAGAGCTGAGCTGTGCAGTAATTTCCTGTGAGACACTTACCTTGATAACCAGGAATATAACAACAGTGGAATTAAGTTCTGGAAGTTAGTATTATTGCATCTCTAGCTACTAGTTTTACTGTGAGCAAATCACTGTTCCTTCCATGCCTTGATTTCTCTCTAGCAGAAGTGTGTGTGTATTTTTTATATATATATAATACATATATTTTATATATATATATGTAAAGGATGAACGGTTGAACAGCCATTTCCTTATTGACTTATTTAGTTATTTACCCACACTATAGCTTAAGAAGGGTAGAGCTCCCAGTAACGTCAGGATCGTGCCTGTCCAGAAAACCTCTGGAAACCTCCTGCAGAATATGATTGTATTTTATTGACAGTCACATCATCTGTGTCAGGACTGCCCTGCTTTGCTGGGATGATGAAGGTTCCTGGCTGCACTGAATCTGCCAAACAAAATCCTCACAGTCTGAGCTGTAATTTGAGGCTAGGGTGGAACTCAAGGGTGCTCAGGTACTTTTGATACTTGCCCTGTTCTGGAGTTTGCCTCTGGCTGCAATAAGGAAATGTGGTGCTATTCTGATTTCAAACTAATACTTCCAGAGAGTTGGGGATTCACTTGAACCCACATGAAATATGGTTGTTTGCTCCTTGTTTTGCTGAGAAGTAGCTGATATTTTTCTGGAAGGCAAACAAACAGCTGCTTAGCAACCTATTAGACATATAAGGGGACTGGAAGGCAATTTAGGTTAAAAACTAAGCAACAATTTGAAACATCTCCCCTTAACTCCAGCCAAGGAAATACTGATTTCTAAAAAGCTGGGGAGGACTCAGGGCTTACTGGCCTTCCCAGTGCCCAAAGCACAGACCATAAGTGGGCAGGCTGTTACCCTCTGCTGTTTGCTCAAGTCAGCCCTTGATGACTTGCCCTTTCCTGATGTCCCCTCCCTTCACTGTGAAAACCTGAGCACTCTCTTCTGAACTCCTCAATCAAACCCCCTCTCTACCTGAGGCTCACCGTAACCAGCCAAGTCAAACTGAGAACAAGATCTTTGTTAGGAAGCAAAATGAGTGGACATTTTAACCACCTTTACCACACTTTGATAATTGCATTTCTGATGAGGATTTACGTTTTTTCTTTTGCAGTAATGTCTTCAAGTCCAACAGTTGGCTCCTCCAGCACTTCTTCCATCCTTCCATTCTCCTCTTCCGTATTTCCTGCTGTCAAACAGAAGAGTGCCTTTGCTCCTGTCATCAGACCCCAAGGGTCTCCCTCTCCTGCCTGCTCCAGTGGCAACGGGAATGGGTTTAGAGGTAAGAATGGAGAGGTGATGCCCAGTGTGCCCAGTACCCACGGTGGCAGTGCAGGGAAACACCATCACACTGGCACCATGGGACTCAGCAGCGAAACCCTGACCCAGTCCAGCTGGGTTAAAGCTAAGCCAAGCTTTGTCTGCTCCATTTGAGGCCAACAGGGGACAGACACTCATTGGTACCGTGCAGGATTTGAGCCCCACTGCATTTCCATGCCCACTCCTTTGTGAGGAATGTCTTCTCCTTAGGCTGGGGGGACTTGTAAAACAAACGTCTGCCCTGCAGAGTTAATACACAGCTCTGTAACGTAACAGCCTCGGCCTGAAACCTGCTGCAAGGTTTAGGCTCATACTGGGAATTGAGCCCTATAGTACATTTACAGCCTTTTTAAAGGGGATCTGCAAAACAAATGTGAGTATTAAGATAAGAATGGAAACCTGTACTAAATTCTTTCTTTTAACAGGCTGTGGGGGGGCACGCGGCACATAAATATGCTCCAAGTCTCCATAAAAAAAAGCCTTTATGGGGCCTGAGAAGTCATCTGGCTCCTTCAGACTTCACTGGTGATACCACAGAAAACACAGCCCTGGGAATTCAGCCATGGCGAGAGCCAGTGGTAATCCCAAAATGAGCCTCACAACCCGCACCTGCTGGTTTGGGTGCCTTATAAATCCTTAGCTAGGCCACAGGGATCTACAGAAACTCTGATTATTTTATATAATAAGGAAATTCTAAGTGTGTTGAACAAAAACAATTACATTTTTAAAAGCTAACTTATAGAATTCTGAAAGGGCTTCTTCCCCTGCCCCAATTACATGAAATTCTGCATCTCTAAGATCATCTTCTCCCCGTTAACGAAAGACATTGAGCTACCCATGGAAATGCACAGGCCTCGTGTTGGCAGGGAATGTGATTTCTCTTTCACCCTGTTTAAAGGAGATTAAACAAAGGACTTGAAGCAGCTTTTTAAAACTATAGGTACAGAAAGTTTGTTGGCCCAACAGTTGTAGCTATTTATCTAAACTGCCCAGAAATGGGTTTATTGTTGTCCATGGTGTGTGTGATCACGGTGTGTAAAGAGTCATCACCACTACCTGGTCTGCAGTGAGGATTTTTCATTCTTTTTCTTTTTTGGGGGGAGGGTAGGGGTGCTAGGGGTGCTGTTTGTACTAGCTAGTGAAGGGATGTATCAATTTCACTTCACCAAGAGGGTTTAGCTGTTTGAGGGAGCTGTTCCAAGGTAATGTAAGTTAAACATTTAACTAGCACAGCCTATCAACTGAAGAACAGTTTGCGTGTTTAGCTGAAGCCAGTTGGACAGTGCTATAATCTACAGACAAATCAGTGTGTTCAGAATAGATTTAAGTTGAGAAAGCCTAATTTTGAAGAAGTTACCTAAGGTAGTGCCAACCACAAATCAGGCCAGGGAGAAAATCACTCAAATTGGTTCTGGGAGGCAGATTAAGAAAAAAAACCACAGATTTTTTATTGAAGTTAATACTTTTCCTTGAACAACTGTGTCTGTCCTGTCTCCTCAGCAAGAGTTTCTCTCTTTTTTGACCCATTTGCAAACAGGTAAAATACTAGAGACCATTGGGTGCCATTTGTGCTGTTTAGTGTTTATAATGGATCTTATCCAGTCTATAAATTAGTAATCAATAACTGATTATAAAAATGAAACTTTAATATTAAGTATAACAGAAAAGCTCAAAGCTAAACCCCCAGCCGTGTGTGTTTACTGGCAAAAGTCCACTCTGGAGCTGTTCAGGATTAGGCCATCAGGTCAGGTTGTGATAGGTTCTGCTGCAGTTTGTGCATGTAGAGATGCAGTGACCTGGGCATGGACAGTCCAATACACAAGTTATTAACCACAGCCCTTCCTTTGGGGCCACCTCCTTGTACATCAACACCCTGATGCAGGAGTAACACAGACATGTGCCACAACTGGTAGTTAAATAAGTTTTCAACAGGTACAGGACCTACTACAATGAGACTTGTCAGTCAGACTGCAGCAGCAAGCACCAGCAGAGAGACTCCCAGCAGAGCAGTGGTTGCTCTGCCAAGCTGAACAGGTCTGCCCAAGCTTTGTTAAGCCAGGACTTTGGAAGTGTTTAACTATTTCAGCCATAGATGCAAATTCTGTCCGGCTGAACTATTTAAATTGAAGCAAGCTGGGGAGCACATGCTTTGGAAAGGCTCCAGATCCCCCCAGCCTGATGGCCAAATTAACGTTCCCACGGTGCTGACAGACAGATGTGTCCAGAAAGTCAACAGGAGGGTCCCAAAGAGGCTTCTGGACTGGACTTACCGTGCTGCAGCAGTGGGAGATGGTTAATGTCTGCTAGGCCACCACCCTGCACTGTGAACTAAGAATAGATGTGCTGGTCCTGTTATTTATTTACCTACTTATTTATCAGACTCAGGCATTAGTAACTACTGGTGGAGAGAGAATAGCAGAAGCACAGAGCCAGCAGTAAGTACATGCAGGCTCCTTCCCAAAGCACATCAGACAAGTGCTTTGACATTACATCTCCATTTCCTCACCCATAGTATGGGGAAAACATCTCCCTGATGGGGACTCTTTGAGCTTTAATGTAAGGTTCACAGTGTACTTCAACTACATCTTTTGTTCAAAGGCAAAAGTTTCCTGGGGATGGAGTCTCCATGCTTCTCCCTGCTTCCTGTCACAATGAGACTGTCAGAGATCCCACAGCACTCAGGGTGTGCCACTCCCCTTACGAGCATCAATGAAAATCTAGACTATAGGTTCCACCTATGTAAACCACAGCAGCGACTCAGCCTGCATTAAAACTAAACAGAAGGAGCTGTAGAGGCTTCACCCTCACATTAGTATTCCCTTTCTTCTGGGCAGTCTACAGTAGGGCTGGAAATCTTTTTCCAAAAATAGATTTTGGGTTGAAAGTATTGGTGAAGCTTAAAAGCTGCTGGGACAGTGGGACAGCTGGGAGAATATAGAATCATTAAGAAATTGGAAAAGGCCTCTAAGATCATCACATCCAGCCATCAGCCCAGCACTCCCATGACCACTAAACCAGGGCCCCAAGTGCCATGTCCACATAATTTATTTTTTAACCCCTGCAGGGGTGGTGACTCCACCATCTCCCTGGGCAGCCTGGGCCAAGGCCTCACCACTCTGCCAGGAGAGAAATTCTTCCTAATATGCAAGCTAAAATTCTTCCTAATATGCAGTCTGAGAATAATATGATAATAACCTAAGAATAGATAGAACGTAACTCAAAAATAAGCATGAAACTTGTGTTAGCTACTGGCTTTCAGCTTTGGGCTGCACAACAGAGCCAAGACACGTGGCACCCCCTCAGCTAACCCGTGTGCCACGTGTGCTTCACCTCCTCCACCTGCCACCTGCTCCGCATGCTCACGGCGTGCCGGGCCGTGAGGTGGAGCCCATGCAGCAATCCAGGCTGGACACCACTCCCTCCTCAACGCTCTCCAGACTGAGAGCAGCTGACCCTGAGCAAACGGGGCTGTGCTCCACGCATGTCACATGTCAAGGCAGTTTAGAGAGGGCCCTGGGAAGATGTGATGTGACGTGACGCCGCACGGCGCGCTCAGTGCACCGATGCCTCATCGACTCCTCTCAGATGGAAGGCAGCTGATGGGAAGAGCCAGCAAATTGGAAACTGCTGGAACAGCATGGGCCGCTGGCTGCCCAGATTACCTTTGGCCAGCTCAGCACATCTCAACATGAAAATGCAAGCTCAGTTACAAGGAATAGCAGGCAAGCCCCAGAAGGTCAGATGTTCCATTAACCAGCAGGATCCTGGCCAGTCCAAAAGGTATTGACGTCTGGTACCCTTTGGAACAGCACATTTAGCAAAGGGGACATCTGCACTATTCCCTAAAGAAATACAGGGATTTGAGTTGCAGACCCTACTCATCAGTATCTCCTCTTGACAAAGTTAGGGGTGTCAACAGCCCTGGGGCTTCCAGTCCCCTTGCAGTCAGAGGCTCTGCAGGCAGGTCCTGAGGAAGGCAGCTGCTCTGAGGGGTGGGGAAGGGCTGGGCTGCAGAGGGGCTGGCTGGCTCACAGCTACAGAGCCGTGGCTCCTGATTGCTTCCAGCCCAGTGCCTGACCTGCTGCTCCACGCCGGGGCCTAGCTCCAGTCATCACTTAAGACACAGTGTTTTAACATAACTCATAACAGGGATCCGACCAGGGAGAAACAACCTGGCTCTTTCCACACTGGGAGTGTTCAGCAACGTGCTTCTGCCTGAGTCAGACTGATTCCAGAGCTGAGGCAGGGATTTAAGCATGCCAGAGGCTGCACAGGATGCAGAGATGATGTCAATACATATGAAAACGATGTATCTGTCAGCTGATTGAAAGTGATATATTGGAAGGATCAAGTACCTTTTACTCCCCAGTTTATTGGCAGAGGTATAAGGAGCACAGACCACTTCAAAATAAAGCCCTATAAATAGAACTTAACCCTTAAGAACCCTGAAGAAAGAACCCTTTAGAAACTAAACAAAAATACCTCCTGTGATTATGAATTATTCCTCTTTCATTTGATGGGATATTAATTTTAGTAGCTCATCATATGTTGCAGACTTACTTGGGCCAGACAACAGCTCCATTTTTAAAGGCAGAAAACAAAAATCTGCCTTTTAATGGAAGAAAATATTCCAGACTCAGGTGTCACAGACCAAAAAGAGAATATTGGGTAAGATTCAATACTGACTTCTTGGCAGGGAAAACCTTAACCACCTTCTAGTACAACTGGAAAAATATAGAACTGCAGAGGGGCTGCACATTCCTGTGCTCTATAATCAATCACCAAACTAATGCATACAGGATTTTGCAACACATATGTTGATTTTAAGGATGTTCCTAATTAACTTGAACTAAATCAGAATAATTGTTCAGGCAGCATTTGTGCATAGACAGCTTAACACCATGGTGAGAGCATGACTACATCAACACAACTCAATAGAGGAGGCTGAGTGAACTCCATCTCTGGGCTAGCAAAGGTTTTGTAGAGATTTTTTGAAAACATATTATGTAAAATATGGTTTAACTTGCTTATCATCTAAAAGAGACACAACCATTTCTTACTTATTTACCAGTCTGTGGTTAGATGATCAGGACTGGATGGATGAAAATCTCCCATCCAAATACAGAATTTATGAACAAAAATTTTAGAAAAGAAAAACCAAAGGGGGAAAAAAAAAAGGTGTTAATTTCCTATGGAGGAAAAAATAAAAATAAATTATTTAGGAAAAACCTGAAGCTTCTGTTAGTGTTTTAGTTGGAACCACCCTTCCTAGAAGCTGTGATTTATTTCCCTTTCACTCTAGTCTAACAGATAATGGTGCCCTTGATCCAATCAGGAGAAGCCTGCAGATAGGAGCTGCACTTTTTGTCAGGCCAAGGGACAGAGGCACCAGCTCTGCCACCTCCAGCGTGGTGCTTGGGAGGTGCAAACACACCTCTATGTGCAGGGCAGCTGGTGCAGAGGCGTGGCTGGTACTGAGGGCAGGGACAGTCAGAGCAGATGCTCAGAGCAGCACCATGGGTGCACTTGGCCTCCTCAAAGAGCTGTAGAACCCTAAGATTGGAGTTTGCTGGAAACTTAGTGGGAAAAGAAGAAAACCAAATGAGTGAGCAAGACGTTTTACATGGCAGTGATTGGAAATGCTCAGCACCCAACTTCTCTAGGAGCAGTTTTTAAGCTGGGTTGTAATTTAGATGCCAGCAAAGCCCTTGTGATCTCTGCAGCCCCAGCTCAGAGGGTGAGCACACTCACCCCCTGCCCTTCCCAAAGGGCTGCTTGGCTGCAGAGTTCTTTGCCACTACAAAGCAGGACAGCGTTTTCAGGGGCCACTTGTACACACTAGGCTTATCATCATTATTAATTACACCCATTAAAGGTTCCTATCACCGTCGCATCTGGGTACTACCCATGTTTGATTATTTATTTATAAAAAAATTCTCCAACCTTGTGACAATTTTAATCAAGTGTTTCAGCTGATAATTGCAAGCTGTCAAGGTTAATACAATAAGGCTCATCTCTAATTCTTTTTCCATTTCCCTCCAAGAAAAAGAAAAGACCCTCTGGGATAATGACTGTGGTTTCTATATTCCCAACTCATCAGGGAGTGTCCTGCATTGAACCACCTTTATTGAAAAGTTACATCGATTCAATATATAGTAATACAGGCAAAAATAATTACAGCTTTGCTAGTGGTGTAAGACCTTAATCCAAACCTCACAAACATTCAATAAAAAGCGATACAGGCTGGGAATAGGCTCTTGACAGTGTAGCCCCAAAGGGGAGTGGAGGTGGGGTGGAAATGGCCAGAGGAGGGGATGTGAGAGAGAAGCACAGAGCGAAGCTGTTCCGAGGAGCTGGGGGGAGCAGGTGAGAATTCCAGGCAGTGTTCCTCAACCTGCTCGTTCTTTCCTGGAGGAGGGGGTGAAATTGCACCACCAGGATGAAATGCCAGTGAAACAACTAAGCTTTGCTCACCCTCTCTATGTTATGTTATAATTTTTACCTGAATTTGCCCACTGGCAGGTTCTGGCCTGACAACTCCCGAGTAGCTCTGCTCTGGAGCACTTACAACCTGGAATTACAGGCTTGGGCTGGGCAGGGGTGTGACAGAAAGGACAGGAGTGCAGGGACTTGCTGCTTGCTCAGAAGGAAAGAAGGGAGGCAAAGGAGGGATCCCCAGGACCCCAGGGGTGACAGTGTCCCCCTCCAGATTGCAGATGGCAGTTCTGCTCTTGCCAGCACTGGGCTGAGCCCAGGACTGCTGGATAACACAGTATCTTTAATTACACTGTAAAAATGTGCTGCTCCTTCCATTTAAGGAACTTCCCAAAATGCTCTATCTACAAGTAGGCTTTAAAATATTTTTGAAGAGACATGGTAGAAACTCAGGCTTGGTCTCTGCCTTGATGGGCTGGAAGTTTTCCTTGGGTAAAAAAAAAGGAAAATAATGTTGATAACAGTAGCACGAGAAAAAAGCCTTTACACCAGAATGGCCCCTGGGGAACAGAGTGTAAATGACACTGGGAACAGCCCCTGCACATCCCAGATTAAACCTGTACCAGGGTCTGCTGCCTCTGCCCGACCCAAACAGCCCCAGCCAGAGTCTCTGGCCAGGCCAGGAGAAAAGGTGAACCACGGGCATGGCAGCCAGGCACCGTGTGCCCGTGCTCCTGCCTTGGCCTCAGGCAGAAGCTGCAGCCAGGTTACCCCAGACAAACAGCTTAAATTCCTTGAGCCAACCCGGCTGATGGTGCCTGAAGCAGATTAGGGAGCACTGGAGTGGATTGCTCCACTGGGATGGCTGTGGGATGCACACAGCAGCATCTGGAGGGGGCATCAGTCCAAGGCTCCCCCCAGGATTCCTCTTCTGGAGGGCACAAAGGCAGGGATGTGGTCAGTGCACTGTAAGATCAGGGTTTTTTAGGGGGTGAGGACAAGGAAAGGATCAGTCTCAGTGCTGTCAGAAAATGTCTCATTGTCTAATGCAACCCCCTGCCCTCCCCAAAACAGGCACAGAAATATTTACTAACTTTCTTTAGGGTTATGTAAACGACCTGTTTGAAAATCTGTTTGAAAAACTATAGCAAATTCCTACACAATTGAAAAATATTTGACTTCAGACTGTTTGGTTTCACTTTCTCTTTCAGCTATCTGCCAGAATTGGCAGAGACTTCTAGCCCTAGTCAGTTAGAAAATATGAAAATATTTATTTTCCTATTATATTAAATCATAGACCGTATCCACAGTTGTTTAAAATCAACACAGCTCCAATAAAAGAGTCATGTTAGCTGAGGATCTTGCCCTAAGCATTTTTTTAAACACTATGAACATAAGGGTGAAATTAATTCTCATAGGACAGGGCTTTAAACACATGAATAATCCCACAAATTTCAGTGAACATAAATCTTTGCAGGATTAGGACCCTGCACTGCACTGAGGCCCCTTTGAAAATGTGACTGACTCATTTGTTATATAAATACATATAAACTTCACTTACCCCTCAGAACCTTGGGGAACAGCACCAGTCCCAGGCAGCTCCAAACGCTGCTGCTGTCACTTGTGAAGAATACAGCTGCAATTAAAGGCAGTGAGAGTGACTAATAAATAATTTACATAAGCTGGGTGTCCTGGGAGCGTGCCAGGCAAGGCTGCAGTGGCTCAGGCACACGGGGCAAGGCAGGCAAGGAGAGGCAGGGCCACTGCTGCCACCAAAGCCCAGCTCTGGTCACTGGCCAGCAAGTGGGGACTTCTCCTGCTCCGGCCGGGCCCGACAGCAGGGCAGGGGCAGATCCAAACCCCCTGTGCTCTGCCAGCCCCCTCAGGCAGCACACCCCTCGCTGCAGGCACAGGGCAGGCTGGGGGGCAGGGGGAAGACCCCGCTCAGCTCGGGCTTCCAGCAATGACACGGGGCGTCCAACCTGGGAAGGCACCAGGCTGAATTTCTGGGGACAGTGCTGAGCAATGGCCCCTCCAGGGACATCTCTCAGGAGACAAGCACCCCAAAGGGTGCTGTGCAGCTGAAAAGGCCCCTGCTGAGACTCCAGTTAATCCTCAGTCTCATTTGTCCCTTTAAGGACCACAACAGCCCTTGGCTTTTGGTGACTTTCCTAAGTCACCAAAAAATGCTGGACTAACCAGCAGGCTGTCCATGGGCTGTGGAGGTTGTCAGTCTCACCATCTTAGCTCTCACTAGAGCTTCAGCTCAGCTAAACCAAGGCCTAAAGCTGTAGGTTAGAACTGGGAGGCCCAGTTTAAGCTGCAGACTCGGCCGTTGCTGCCACGGTGACCGCGCGCGGAAGGGTGAAGGGCTCAAATGTATTTTGTTCCATAAAACTCTGCCAGAATTTCATCTCTGTCAATTTTCTTTTTCAGCCATGACTGGTCTTGTCGTTCCCCCGATGTAAGGAAGAGGCAGCTTTGCTCCTCTCCCTCTTCCCTTTTTTCCTCTTTTTTTTTCGTTTTTCTTTTACAGCACAAAACTACTTATTGTGATGGACCACTAAAAAGAAAAAAATAGCACTACAAGCTCTTTTTTGGGGGAAGGCCAGGCCCAGGAAAAAAAAAAAAAAAAAAGAACATTTTTTATGGATTGGACAAGATAGAAGTCTGCATCTTTTACCTGTTTCATATTTCTGACACAACCACATCAACTCCTAAAACATTGTGAATGAAGAAGCAGCCGAGAGCCAGGACGAACAACAGTTGGCAGAACGGAACCAGAAATGCAAAGTCTGTCTTGAAAGACATGAAACCTTCCTTAAGATTTGTAAAATATTAAAAGGAGAAAGAAATTGGCAAAACGATTCAAGCTTGATATTTTGGATACAATTTGTTTTACTTTGTAGGGGAAAAAAGTTGAAGTTTCTATTTTCTATGGAGCCTTTCAGATACGATTTAGTTTATGCAGAAAAAAAAATTCAACAAAACAGGGTACCAGCATGAAAGAATTTCTAGGACAAACTGACATGAATGATGGAACTTTGGTGTATGTGTGTATTTGCTTATAGTTTAACCTCTTTAAAAAAATGTAAGATGTTTTACAATTATTTAAATAAATAAACTTGTAACTTATTGTACGTAGAGGTAGAAATTAAACCCTTTTTTGGATTTTTTTCCTCCAATTGTACAATGAAGAAAAATGATGCAAAAATGTAGTGATAAGTTTGAGATATATTATTACTGCTGCAATTGCTCCTCAATTCTTCCCTCTTACTGGATTCACGTGCAAGGATGTACAGGATTCCTTCTGATTAACAAACTCATCAGAGACTTTGACACGAGCGTTGTGGTACACAGGTCACTAGTTCATGTATGAATTTTCATCCTCCTCATCTTTCCCCCTTCCATTTTTTGTGTCAATTAAAATATTCAGGTACTAAGATTAACTGGTAAGCTTCAAAGACCCCGCTGGCAAACGAGTGGCACTTAGGGATTTGAACAAATCGGGTTTTTCATGAGGTACTGAGCTTATTTTATAGATTCAATGTATGAATTAGGAGGGAAAGGGTTCTCTAACGTATTATTTTTCCATGTAGTTAGAACACCTTAAGTTCAGTTATACTTCATATTAAGGGTGCATTTATAAAGGATAAATATGTATTTGAATAATTTATGCACTTTTATCCTGAGTCATTAAAAAAATGGTAAGTATTTTCCATTTATATATTGAGTTGATAGAAGTAATCAATTGCTTTGAATTCTGCATTTTAGTGTAAAAAAAGTTTAGTTTTCCTTTGCATCTCCTCTTCTGAAATTGGAAGGTCACAACAAGTCTGATAAAAAATATCACTAGTTATCTGACTAAACCAGAGACCACTCAAAAGAATTTGATTATTGAAAAGCCATTTTTAGAGGGAAAAAAAAAATTAAATGAGCTACACTACTTAGACCCCACTAAAATCCACCCGATTCAGAGCTGCATGAGCAGTTGTTCCTATGGTAACATCTTTATATCAACAAATACACCCCTAAGGTATGGTCCCTGAAACTGTACTTGTCCATTTGCCCAGCAGGTTTATGGCTGGGTGAGTACAACAGTGGGTTGGGTAGGTGATGTCCAGGCTTGGCATGGTGACACCTGTGATGATGTGCACGGCCGAGCTCACGTGGAGTTAATCTGGGTTAGCAGCAGACTAGAAAGATTCCATCTAGACCTGTGGTCAAACTCAGCCACAACGATTCCTGACCAAGGGGCGTGGTGCTGTGTGTGGTAGGTGGCTCCTAGGCCCTCACCTACTGGACAGACCCTTGGCACAGGACACATAAAATCACCCCCTGCACTAGCCCGGGGCCGTGAGCCTGCTCCTGGGGCAGGCTGGGTGGGAGCAGGTCCTGCCTGGAGCTCTGCTGACCCCAGGACTGCGTGTGACGCACACGGAGACTCGCAGGACGTGTCTGGTGACCTGAACACACGAAGCTGGGGACTGGGAGGTGCTGGGACTGGGCTAC